CCTTTAACTCATTCCATCTCTCGTTTTCATGCTCCCTAAATGATCAAGTCAGCAAAAGGGTCTCTCTATCGGCGAGAGTACCTTGCAAGGGAAGACGGCCAAGGAGGTAGAACGTCGTGCGGTGTCATTTTTTTGTTCACGCAAATAGGTGGAACCGAGAGTACGATCGGTGAGAGGTTTACGCGAGCGCGGAAATTCGCGAGCTTGCACGACTCTCGCTTCTCGCACGACTGACTAAACCGGGAACGAGGGTGCTTGCGACGCTGCCAAGTGGCGCCGCAAGCTCCGAACTACCCCCGGTATCGTATAGGGGGTGGTAAGTAAGTACGAGCTAGCTTGCGCACCTTTACACTTTATACAGCTTCCTTGGCATTCATTCAGACATTTCACGTCGTTATGAATTACATACTCACAAATTTTGTAATCTTTCATATTTACCTCTTCATTCGGGCAATTACAAAATCCATCTTCACTGCCCTTAAACCTTTTCAATGTTTATTTTGGACTCGCCGTATTTAATGAGTACTTTTATATGGCTAAATAAGTAATCCAATTGATAGTACATACATGATTCCTTGAAGGATAAATTATTGGGTAAGAAAAATTAGTGACGAAAATTTGTATGAAAGAAAATGTCTGCCCTTGAGAAATAAGAGAATTTCAGAAGACGCATGATCATTTGGTATTCAAGGAGAAATAGCGATGGGGCGATTCGCTTGGTATTCGCCACTCGTATCGTTCACTCATTTTTTAAATTTATATAGGTCGACTTGGATCTCCCAGCTCGGATTTTTAATCGAACCACGCCATCCTTTTCTTTCTTCACTCCACTTGACCACCTATCACATTTTTCTTTCCATTCCAAGTCGCCTTTTTCCTTTTTGGCTGTAGTTCGTCTGGCACATCTCCTCATTGGAGGGGGCAGCCGTAAGGAAAGGAAGGAAGGAAGGAAGACTTTAGTCCGTACCGTCGCGCTCGTTCGGCCTTCTGAGTGTCGACCGTCGAGCAACCACCTGTAACCGCCATGCTTCTCTCCTTTCCATTCCTCTTCCGTTTCAAAGCGTCATTCCCATTCCGGAATCGCAGCGGTACATGATCGTCGGTAACAACAATCATTTACCGTCCGGTAAAAAAGCGAGTCTCCATTTATTATCTTTCATTTGAAATTCTGTATAACTTAGAGAACGCAAATTTGCAATTTCTAAATGACTCTATGGCAATGACTAACAGGTAAACTTATTAAACGTTTGATTGGCAAATATTATTCGCAAATAGGTTTGGAAAAATTCGATTTTGCTGTTTTGAATTAATTATTGGTCAATGGTCTTGGCTACGATAGTGAAAAAGTTTATTGAGTGTACATGTTTGTTTGCATAAACTTCACTGTAGTGCCATTGATTGTAGTAATATCAGTAATATCAGCACTCACCGTCTTTAGGATCATTGATCATGTTCATTTTTGCGTAGGAGTTATCACTCATGTGGAAATTAGAGGATTTCAGGACTTAAATGGTTGATATAACGATCGGTAGTGGCGCGTGTGGAAAATCAACAAGTCTTCGCGAAATTTACTGCCGTAATTAGAAAGAAAGATTTCTAAGTTTCCAAGAGATCTCAGAACAAAGATTCTCTTTATTAAAGTATTTTCTTGGGTGGAAATTTGCGCTTAAGTTACTTCTATATTAAAATTGGCAAGCGGCCACATGTTCCAACGAAAACGCCCAAAGCTCTTAAGCTTGTGGGAATTGATAAATTTTTTTACGCGATTCACGACTCACGCCTTCTGATAAAGTCGGTAATACAGATTTGCATGACAAAATTGTTGACGTATGATAAATCGATTAGCAATTTTACTCTTCAGATAAGCTAGTTTTGTGCAATTTGTGACTTTATCGATATTACTGCCAACCGCCAGAGGTACTCAATGGTGCGCTGAGCACCATATAGTTAGCCCCTCATCACGACCGATCGAATTAATTTTTTTCGCTATCGTTTGCTGGTCATTTGTTAGTGAATGATGGACTATTCTAAACGTTTGACGGTTATTTATTTATGTAAATTTATACAAACAAATTTGGCTAGGAAATTTTTTTCAATTAACCCTCGATGGTCAGGCTGATTCCCTATGGAGCGTACTTTGTGTACGACGTAACTTACATGGCCAATCGCGAACCCGAAATTCCGCTCTATTATCTATCGGAAAACTAACAACGATCCGTGACTTGCTGGCGTAAACAAAGAAAGACAGAAAGGAAGGAATGAGGGAAATAGCTTCAGCACCACTCGTGGCACATTTTCGAACTGTTACTCGACACGATATAAGACCCGATTTTTCAAAATTTCTCCATTACAGTTTCGTGTTGTGATCTGAATCGACGTAGATTGCAGAGATGCCAAAACCATTCACAACACAAAAAGGCAAGATAGGCACGGCCGCCGTAACAGCAAAGTTATCATTGATTTTGGATATTAACAATGTTCTCTGTCGGTAGGTTCAATAATTGGAGTTGTTAATTCGAGCAATGGTACGACCACGGTCTTGTATACAGGTTTCCCTATCATCATCACGTTCTAGCTTGTAACCGCTAATGTGGCCGGTTTTGTCCGCAAAACATAATGTCGAAGAAGCTTGCTGACCTATGGCTGACATAGCGCAGCTAACCGATGCTAGCACGTTTTTCGCCTAACTGCTCAGACCTGTATACAAGACCGAGGGTACGACCTACAATGTTATCACGTCCGACCAGGTGAAGGTGAACTCTCGACTTTGAACATTTTACTTAAGTAATCGTCGTCGTTCTATTCGTACTTTGAAATATACCAACGAAAACTTCTTTTGCAGCTACCTGGTTCAGGACAATCGAACCAAATATTATCTGCAGACAAAGATACGGACGCAGTTCCTTGTCATGGAGAGCTGATACCCCCCAAAATATTGATTGAAAGTAGCGAAGATGAAGGTCAATCTGATCAGACTAACGTATCTGCCGCAAATATGGCCGTTTTACCAGTCAGGTGCAACACCACCAATGCTGAATTACATAAAAGAAGATTTGGCTCTGGAGGTAGAGGCCGCTCTATAAAAGTAGGCCAAAATTGGTATACTCCGATTGAATTCAAGGCGTTATGTGGCAGAGCGTCTACTAATGATTGGACAAAAAGCATACGATTCGGAGGAAGGAATTTGGAAAAATTAATTGATGAAGAAATCTTGAAACCACACGCAACCTCTTGTTTTTGTGCTATATGCTGTGATGACGATAGTGCAGTAAGTAGGCTTTCTCTTGATTTCTTAAATTATAAACTTTGGCTCTATTTTGAAGACGACAACGTTTTATGATACAGACAAGCCCTGTTCGATTACATACGCCAAGGCGAAGAAGAAAGAGGCAGGTTTCTGGTCGGGAGTCTCCATTTTATAAATATGAGAGTGACAATTCAAGAAATGAAAGTGACAATGAAGTTGTTCTTGATAAGGAAGTGTGCCCACAACTATTTTCAACAGATGGGTTGCTTTTACAGCAACCACAACATCAATATAATGTACAGAATGTACATCAAACTGAAGATAGACAGAATGATGATGATGATATATTTAGAAACATAGATGAAGTGTCTAATAAACTATTAGATTTGGTATTAGTGTTAACAGATGGTTCGGTTTTACAGCAACTGCAACAACAAGATGCTGTTGTACAGAATGTATATCGAACCGAAGATGGACAGAATGATGATGATAATATATTAAAAAACATAGATGAAGTGTCTAAAAAACTATCAGATTTGAAGTTAAATTATAAACTTTGGCTCTATTTTGAAGACGACAACGTTTTATGATACAGACAAGCCCTGTTCGATTACATACGCCAAGGCGAAGAAGAAAGAGGCAGGTTTCTGGTGGGGAGTCTCCATGTTATAATTATGAGAGTGACAATTCCAGAAATGAAAGTGACAATGAAGTTGTTGTTCTTGATAAGGAAGTGTGTCCACAACTTGTTTCAATGGATAGGTTGCTTGTACGGCAACCGCAACATCAAGATACTGTTGTACAGAATGTACATCAAACTGAAGATGAACAGAATGCTGATGATATATTAAAAAACCTAGATGAAGTGTTTAATAAACTATTACATTTGGTATTAGAGTTTAGAATAAACGTGGAAAAAGCAAAAGAGTTGAAAAGGCGGTATGATAAAGTTAAAAAGGGTCGTGAGTAGTTTGTAGATATAGCAGCTATTGTTTTTAAAATAAAAAATGTTATACAACGAATTTGCATTCATATTGTTTATCGACTGTACAAGATTTAACTTAATAATTTTCGTAGTGTTTAAGTCTACACAGAAATGGATTACCTCTACTATTGGAGATTCCCAAATAGCCGCTGCCTGGGGAAAATTCCAGAGCCAAAGGCTTGGGAATTTTTGTATTAAATGTCGGAAAATTTTAGAAAATGGTGGTCCATAAGTACGCTCCATGAGGAATCAGCCTGATCATTGAGGGACTAGTTGAAAAAAATTCCCTAGCCAAATTTGTTTTTATAAATTTATGTAAACAATCAACCGTCAAACGTTTAGAATGGTCCTTAATTCACCAAGAAACGATAGCGAAAAAGAATAGTTCGATCGGTCGTAATGAGGGGCTAATTATATGGATCGGTGCGCTATGACGTTGTATGGTGGTACCAATGTAAAACTTTCATGGCGAAGAAAAGTTTACTTCTCAGTAGTCACGACTTTTCATACAGTGTCAGTGAATTATTTTTCAAAGTTGAAATAGGTAAAGGTCAGTGAATGGAACTGCTTTCTGCAGCAATACTTTTTATGCTAGCTGTTATTAATAACTGCCTGAAATATTCGTTACCCACTTTATTGAGCTCACTTATTTTATCTTTGAAACGGTATATATAACCTTATCGTTATCCAATTATTTCCCGTAAGGATTTCCCTTCGTTTCTTGGATTGCCATTCATTTTACAGTGATATTGTTAGGTTCTATGATATTCTGTAATATGTATACGTTCCTGTTACTTTCTGTAATATTTGGGAATGATTTATGCCATAATATATTTTAATATTGTTTATGCTATTGCGTGCTGGGTTAGTTATTTATTATTTTTATTAACAATGCTAGTTATTTTTAGCATGTGACTTATAATAAAAAAGGGTAAACACGCCAGTGTAAGGGTATTATTTTCAGTGCATCAGATTAAATATGAGTTACCACCGTGGAGGTGGTAACAAACCCAAGGGATTTGGGTTTGCAGGCTTCCAAATGTCAGGAACTAAGAGAAGTGGAGCTAACATACCTCCACCGCCTCAAAATTCAGCACTCAGCAAACAGGGTTATCATACTATGAATGCAATTACGGAAAATGCACTGTCTGCATGTTGGGGTATACCAAAGAAACGCAGTAAGACTGAAGAGGAGTGAGTATAGTACAATAAAAACTTATTATTTGGAGTCCAACTGCTAAGTGACTTGTTAAGTTAATACCAATTTCAAGATCTAAGACAGACAAAGGTTAAGATAAACTATAAACTAAAAAAATCAGATACTTTGAGGATGACGACGAGCCACCAACTTCCTCATTGGAATACATTCCTGCTCCTGGATCACCGACTTACGACATGATGAAAAAAAATGATAGAAAGGGACGTGACAGCGACAGTGAGGAAGATCCTTTGGATGCCTTCATGGCTGGAATTGACGCTGAAGTAAAAAAGAATACTTTTGATGCTCAATTTACCGAGGAAGAACGGAAGGAGGAGAAACCAAAAGGATTCCGGGCTGATATCGATGGAGAAGATGACGAGGAGAGTTACTATAGGTAAATTTAGAGTTCTCCTCAAGATCACATCGATCTTAGAAGACAGTGGAACTTTCCATAGGACATTGCGCAACTACATTCTCTAGGTATATGGAAGAAAATCCAACAGCCGGATTGCAACAGGAAGAATCTGATCAGGAAATAGAATACGACGAGGATGGAAATCCTATAGCTCCTCCAAAGAAGAAGGATATAGATCCCCTACCATCCATAGATCATTCAGAGATACAGTACGAGGCTTTCGAGAAGAATTTCTACAACGTTCACGAGGAGATTGCTAGCTTGGGGAAACAACAGATTGAAGAACTGCGAAAGACTCTGGGTATCAAAGTGACTGGACCGTCGCCACCAAATCCAGTGACAAGTTTCGCTCATTTCTGTTTTGACGACGCGTTGATGAAGACCATTCGCAAAAATGAGTACACACAGCCTACGCCAATTCAAGCTCAGGCTGTGCCTACTGCCCTTAGTGGTCGTGATCTGATAGGAATTGCGAAAACCGGTAGCGGTAAAACAGCAGCCTTTATTTGGCCAATGTTGGTACACATTATGGACCAAAAAGAGCTCAAACATGGCGATGGTCCTATTGGTTTGATTCTCGCGCCAACCAGAGAGCTGTCACAGCAGGTAAATCCAGGATAAGCTGAAACAAAATTCATAAGAGAATAGATGTCCTCTCCATAGCTTTCAAACAGAATAGTTCGTCAGTAATTTTATCGATAGATCTACCAAGAGGCCAAGAAGTTTGGTAAGGTTTACAACATCCAAGTCTGCTGCTGCTACGGGGGTGGTAGTAAATGGGAGCAGAGCAAAGCCCTGGAGGGTGGTGCTGAAATAGTCGTAGCTACACCTGGCCGAATGATTGATTTGGTCAAAATGAAAGCCACAAATTTATCTAGGGTTACGTTTCTCGTTTTAGACGAGGCTGACAGAATGTTTGATATGGGTTTTGGTAAAATATCCTTTTTGAATTTACTTCAAAATTATAATGCCGATACTTTTCTAGAACGCATCATTATATTTTCCAGAACCCCAAGTAAGATCTATATGTAATCACGTAAGACCCGACAGACAAACATTGTTATTCAGCGCTACCTTCAAAAAGAGGGTAGAAAAATTAGCAAGAGACGTTTTGACGGATCCTGTAAGAATAGTTCAGGGTGACGTGGGTGAAGCTAATACCGACGTTACTCAACACGTCATAATGTTCCACAATAATCCTGCAGGAAAGTGGTCCTGGTTACTGCATAATATTGTGGAATATTTGAGCGCTGGAAGTCTATTAATATTCGTTACGAAAAAGGTAAGAATTTTCTTATTTTAACGATATCTTATTTATAAGAATTTTCTTATTCCGAAATTGATATTTTAGTTAAACGCAGAGGAACTTGCGAACAACCTTAAATTGAAAGAGTTCGATGTTCTCCTTTTACATGGTGACATGGATCAGGTTGAAAGAAACAAAGTTATCACAGCTTTTAAAAAGAAAGAAGTCAGCATTTTAGTAGCTACAGACGTAGCCGGTAATTTTTATTAATATTTATACTTTTCATTAAATACCTAAGATAATTCATGAGCCCTTTTTATAAATTATTTTTTAATAGCTCGTGGTTTGGATATACCACACATAAAGACAGTGGTGAATTATGACGTTGCGCGAGACATCGACACGCATACGCACAGAATAGGAAGGACAGGTCGTGCTGGTGAAAAGGGAACGGCTTACACCTTGGTCACCGAGAAGGATAAAGAATTCGCTGGTCACCTCGTGAGGAATCTCGAAGGAGCCAATCAGGAAGTGCCGAAAGGTTTAATGGACCTGGCTATGCAGAGCGCCTGGTTCAGAAAATCAAGATTCAAGGGTGGAAAAGGTAAAAGTCTAAACGTCGGGGGTGCAGGATTAGGTTTTCGTGGTAGACCAGAACCACCCTCAGGACAATCCTGTGGTGGATCCTCTTCCCAACCACCGAAAGACATAAGCGAAGTTGTTAAGAAACTCGAAAGACATGGACCAGGTAGCGACAGGCTTTCCGCCATGAAAGCTGCCTTCAGGAGTCAGTACAACACTCAGGTAAATATATTTTCGAAGACTGATCTTGAGCATATGTTATTTTAATATTATGTAACATTTAGTTCCGAGCATCTTCCGATCACACGTGGGAACAGACGATACAGCCAGCTTCGGTGATTATGCCACCACCACCTCCTGTAGGACTTTCTGCAAATTCTTCGACAGAAGATGTTAACAGTCAAGACGGTCAGAACAGTGAGAATCCAGGAAATCAGGAAAAGGTGGAACGAAAGAGGGTGAGAAAAAGTCGATGGGAGTAATTTCGGCACAATTTTATTCTATCGGCTATACGAGACGATTACGATCGTTCATTCGAATATAACAAATATCAATTCGTTTTATATTATAATAAAACATTTGCCATTGTGCAAAGATTTTCCTTCATTATACCTTCCTTTCGAGATAATCATATATTTACATAAATAGTCTTACACTTAAATTCTCTCTGATTGTAAATTACTTATCGACAGTCATAATTTTCTGTTATTTTTATTCCCATAAATTTCCTTCGTAGTTAGTCATTAGATTACTCTAAGGATTCTAGTGCGCGGAGCACCTCTTAATATTATACCTGCAAGACGAAGAAAAACAGCATCCAGTAAATGGTTGCAAGGTCTTACGCATTGTGCTTTACCTGCAGTGCGCGAGCATTCCTGGAAGTATTTAAAATTTGTGACAATACTAATGGCCAAGAAACCATTTAGGGCACCGCTGTTTCCCAAAAGCAGAAAAAGGCATGATACCCAGCAAGATTGGATAATTACTTGGAATCATGATTCGTGCGATTCCGTTATGTGAGCAAAAAAAAAAGTGAAAGAAGGAATCTATTTAAATAATACCTACGCACTCTGCTCCGTATCACGCGCTATTTTAAAATCAACTTTTAACGAGGATCTAACAGCTGCATTCGGAGGACGCAATTAGCGAGATGAATAATCCATTTTACTTGGAAAAAAGGAATTTGTCATAGACGACCTAGGAAATTGTCTATAGAACTACTCAGGCATCATCATCGTCATCAACCTCATTAGAATTCCTCAATATTCTTATTCGTCGCTCTGGATCTCAACAAGTTCCATTCCGACGGATAACAAATGGAGGATAGAAGTGAAAAATAATAAAGTGAAAAAAGGGAATGGAAGAGTAAAAAAAATACGAAGAATCGTTAGCCGCGCCGAATACGGAGCTTACTCCAAGGATAAGGCTAAGCGATAAATCATGATCTAGCACCTTGTACAACTAGAGACAAAGGTTAGTAGGATGCTAATGATAGGTTACCGTTTTGTGTTAGGCGTTTGAAAAATCTAGTGCGACTCATGTTTCCCTACTGTTAGCCACGTACCGCCACGTGGCAATGACGTACAATGACACTGCATCACTTGAATCATCCTGCATTGTCCTTCGAGTCACTCGCTCTACGTTTGCTTGATCCTAATCTACAGATCCGGGCTTCTTGTTGGCCAGAGTCAGTCTTACCGGACCTTGTCTAATTCAAGGATCAATTAGCTGCGGCATCGCAGGACTACTTTTCCTTCTTTTTTTCTCATTTAGTTTTGGCGTCGATAAAGAGTTTAAAGATTTTCTATTGGATTCTGCGCCTTTTCCGTTAAATTTTTCCATAGCTCTTGTATACGAACCGGTACAGACCTTACCCCATGTCTTTCTCTCTTCTGCTGTCATATTTAAACATTTTTTGTTATCTAAATGTTGAACCTTCTGTTGCTCGTTTTTATCCCACAATGGTATCCTTCGCGATTTAATTTCTTCTTTCTCTAAGGTGCTTGATACTTGGGGCTGTACGTCGTCCCAGGATGTACCTAGGTCTGACTGGACACTGGATGGAGTTGGACAGCTACTTTCACTTGATAACGATGATGATCTTATGAATGACGGTGGAATTTCTAAATTTATTTGATTACCTTGATTTTTGTTACCTTCGATTGACGGTAGTTCACTTTTTGCTCGAGAGATGGACGAACTCGCACCATTATTGTTGCTGTCGTTATCTAGCGAGAGACTGTCATTAATAATGATTTTTGTGATGGATGTTCTCTTTCTTAAATTTTCCATATTTTCCTTGGGTGACGTTTGCGAATTGTCTACTTTTTGGAGAATGTCTCTCAGGTTCACGCCACTGTTAGTTTTCGACAGTGGCTTCGTTCGTTCTTTTTTTATCTTGGATCCGTTTTTTTGTTGCTCCTTTGAGGAATCGACCTTTTCCTCCTTTGTCGTTAATGTCAATTCTGGAAATATGTAATTAGCTACTCTTTCTTTAGGATCGGAGATCAAATTCTTTGTCTGTCGTGAAAAAGTCGATGGAGATTTTGAAAGTTCCTCATTTTGACCTTTCTGACTGTCGTCCTTGTCTTCCTTCGTTTCTATCAGTTGCTTTGCTTTATCTTCGACTGTTACATTTATGTTTGATTCTTTTAATATTACCTCAGAGTCAATATCCTCGCTAGATATTTTCTTCGATTCAGTACCAGTCCTCTCAATACCATCAACATTCTCATCGTCATCCTCGTTCCCAGAATCGTTATCAAAATCCTTAAGGATACCCTCATTCTTCTCGCTTCTCTTCCTTAATTCCTCCCAATTCTTCCTGGGCTTGTAGCTGGTCTTCCTTCTGACTATACTGCTCTCAGTAATATTGATATCCGGTATAAACAGTCTCAATGCTTTTGGTCCAGTTGGAAACATGACTTCGTTGATACGCTTCTCGCTCATAATAGCTTCCAAGCTTGTCTTTGAGGCGACTTCCTGGTGCTTATTAAACGCAGATACCAACTGGGCAACTGTATACTTTGGCTCATCGTTCTCCGATTCCGAATGCTCATCCTTCTCGTCAGAATTGGCGGAATTATTTGAATGACTCGATATATCCGAATGCTGTCTCTGAGACGGTTGCTTTACAGATAACAAAGATCTTCTCTCTAATTCAGTCTCGTCCGAGTCCTCGGTCAAAGTATCCGATTCGATAGATTGAAGAGAATCAAGATTCTCTTCAGATTCATAGGAATGAGTTTTATGATTCTCATCGTTGGAGGAAATATCATTTGATCCCTTTTGTAATTTATCTGTATTGGTCTCATTTATTACCGACTCATTGCCTGACTTTCTTTGCTGCACAAGAATTTCATCATTTCCGTAACATTTATCAATCTTTACTTCCTTCCCGAAAGCATTGTTCAAAGACACGTCGGAGGATACGGAGCCATCATCCTGAGGCCTGGAATCGGCGATTTTTGCCTTTCTAAAAATAAAATTGTCATTCGCAACAGTCGCGAGTTCAGTTAGGGATGCTGTGGACGCAGCAATCTCGACGCTCAATTGCTTAAAAATCGGTAGCATGTCTTCCGTGGGTGTTCTCGGATTTTTCCTATGACGAAGACACTCCAGGCTTCTATAGATATCCAAAACACCCTGTGACTTGGATAGAGACTTCAACCCATAAAGTTTCTCCCTAGATCTACTAAAGAAAGGATTCATTATATGTTTTTCCGTAGCAATACTCAGACTGTTCAGTAAACATGCCTGGGATTGTGTATGATTAAGGTTACGCATCCTGGATAACAATCCGCGACTAGGACCATGATTAAGATTAGCCTGAGACTTGCTCTGAGCCTGATCAAGCAGTCCTTGAGTTTGCTCTTTATTGAGCAGGCAGCTCTGGCTCAGTGCAATGCTATTTCGAGATGAATCGAGACTCGTCCGAGACTCAGCCGGACTCATGCGCTCCTCGCTTCCTGGTAAACTGGCGCGACTTCCGGCGAGTCCATAGCTCAAGCACATCTCACTCTGACTCAAGTTACAATATAGACCCTGATTCCCATTATGACTCTCAGTCTGAATCCGATTGTGATTCCGAGTAGACTCCATAAGATTGGCGTGACTCGTTGCCTGACTTAGAAGTGCGGCTCTTCTTAAATTCTCACGGCTAACGACACGCTCCAATAAGACTTCCCTCGACTTTGAAAGATATCTTCTGAGATGAGGTGACGCCTGAGTAGGTGCCCCCCTCAGCCATTCATGACGCAGGCATTGTTTCGCTGTAATTCGTGCACTGAAATCATTTCAATAGTCACAGCGCGTCAGTGATTATCTGTCATCTTAAAATATTATCACAAAAGATTTACCTCGGGTCCGGCACAAGAAGCTTCGCTACGAAATCCTTAGCCTGCGCAGACACATCTTCGAACAATTCCTCAGGGAAATCAACTTCGCCCATTGAAATATTCTGAAAGGTTTCTTGATCGGTTTCACCTCCGAATGGTGAAAATCCCGTGAGCAGAACGTAAGTGGTAACACCCAGGGACCTGAGTCACACAAACGCTACGGTCAATCCAAATATGTCCATATGGACGTCGACTTCGCTAGAATTCTTGGCAGTGATCGTTCGCCACGCTAAAAAACTTACCACATATCGGCAGCCAGCGTTATCGGTTCGTAATGAAGAATTTCAGGAGCTAAAATAAATAATACTCGCTCGGTCAATCTTTTCTGGCGCAATATTTGAAACGCCACATAGTACCGTACTATATATATATATATATATATGTATACACACACGCACACTATACATAGTACGGTATAAGACAACCATGGCGTTTCGATGAAGAAAATATGGACAATCCGTGGGACGTATCTGAAGCGTCATACCTTATCTCATTAGCATATACAAAATCATTAAAAAGTCCCAGACTGTTTCTAACTAAAATGTCAATATAAGCATAATAGTAGCGTAGAGCGAAGTTGTAAAGGAGAACTGATAGCGTGGGAGTTTAAAGATCTTGGATGAGTATGACATCAGAGAGGATCCTTCTGCGTATTTCAAAGACGTGAACGTCGTTAAACAAATTGACAATATAATTAATTATACACGAGCAAACAGATGCCGTAAGACGGTCGTACAATTTTAAGTAGCGAACGAGCAATAAAGGGAGTCGTAAAAGCTGCTCTTGGGTTGAACGGTACTAAGCACTAAGCACTAAGCACGTTGGGTTATCTTTGAAATACGTTTCTAATAAATGCACTTTTCCATTAGCCGGAGCATCAATGCCGATTACCTTGCTCGGATTAGATTGCACGTTGCCTGTCTGCATAAACAATATCAAACACTCGTAATACGTGAGCACGAGGCTAACGTGTCAATTAAAATCTATTAGTGCAATCCCGTTATCGTCGATTAGCAGTGATCGATAATTATCGTTATTAATAAAAAACGGGGGACGTCAAAGAAAATCGCAGTTCAGTTAGAAGCCGCTAGAAGCCGCTTGGCTCCGATTGGACTTACAGCCAATGCCGTTAACACTTACGAGTGGCAAAATACGAGAAAGAAAAGACGAAAGTAAATAAAAAAGAAAATAAAAAAGGGTATACCAGAGGTTCAATCATCTGACTTACCCACGTAATCGGGAGTGCCCAGAATCTCCCTGACTTCTGTACCCTCGAGGATAACACGGGATATCTCGAAATCGCATAGCTTTACGTCGCACTCGGGGAAGCTGCCCATCATAACGAGATTTTGTGGCTGGAAAAAAGATAAATGCATCAGTGTGAACGACATGAAGATTAGAGATTAAAAAATAGATAAAGGGAAAGCACACGGTGTAGATCAGAATGGATCTGATAAGGAAATCTTGGACCAATGGCAGGTAGTTGGATTATGCAGGGAGAATCGACTTCCTCGAGTCTCTTGAGTTTTTACACTATATTTATGCACTGTGTCTATTATGTGTAGTATACCGTGTGCTATATGCTAAAGTTATATTATGTGTCGTTATACAGAGTTAGTCAGTAGAAACGCACCAGCGGAAGTAGGCCGCAAGTGGCCGACACAGCAGTGTGGCTTTTTCAAAAAATGACATATTACTGTGACCGATTCCCATAAACGCAAACTGACAGTTTGCATAGTACTAAGTTAGGTTTTTCAAGTATTTCGACAAAATGTAATATCAGTTAAGATTTATTTTCACAACAGATTGCAATTAAAACAATGTAAAGTTTAAAATATTCACAATTTTGATATTTCCAAGTAATGATCACAACTGCAATTTTGCAATACGATGCTGCAAAATAATTTTAAAATCAATTAATTGAAATGTTATGTATGTATAATATGAAATGCATAGTAGAAGATACGAGCTCGTATAATATTTCCAACGATTCCCATAAACGCAAACTGACAGTTTGCATAGTACTAAGTTAGGTTTTTCAAGTATTTCGACAAAATGTAATATCAGTTAAGATTTATTTTCACAACAGATTGCAATTAAAACAATGTAAAGTTTAAAATATTCACAATTTTGATATTTCCAAGTAATGATCACAACTGCAATTTTGCAATACGATGCTGCAAAATAATTTTAAAATCAATTAATTGAAATGTTATGTATGTATAATATGAAATGCATAGTAGAAGATACGAGCTCGTATACATGTCAGATAGCCACCCCTGGAATCCCACGCTTGACGTCTATTTCAGTAGTTTGCGGAGGCTAAAATTGGCAACGACGATCTATGAATAGCCAACAAATAATCACGTTTATCGCGAAAACCAACTCTCCGACGATAAAACAGACTCACGTCGAGTTTAACGAACTGCCGAGTGACAAGTCGTTAAACCTTGCAAGGATAATCCTTAGGGTAAAGAAGAGTGGCGGATGCGCCATGAGGATCCTCCTTACCGTCGTAGAGGTTATGTGGAATATATTTTACATCTGTCTATTATTATCATCATCGGATACTTATTTCTTCAGTGTGGAACGGTTATTGAGATTGTGGTAAGATTTTTTGATTGAGGACGGAAGTAAAGGAATTAATGGAATAGGTGAAAGCACTGCCGTTAGGCAAGTTTAGTTAACCAAGTGAGACGGGTAGGCTGAGAAATGTTCATTGAACGCAGACAAGTCATTTCCTTCTGGCAAATGATTTAGCAATTACTGATATTGAAGATTGAATACGCGTAAAAGGTATTCTTTTTTTAACGAAAAATATTCTAGGCCGTTTACAATGTTTATCAGAAGTTCGTGTAATTTATTATGTCTTACGGAATTGACGACTTCCTCGTATTTCTGACACATGCATTATCCTTCTTTGGTATCTTGGTGAAATTTCGAGATAATACTTTCACCTTATGACTATTTCTAGATTACTCCTGTTTATTCTTCCTAGTCACTAGATGTTGGCATTCAGTAGGAAGGACTGTACACACACGCACGCACGCACACACACATGTATAAATTGTGAAAAGGCTCCATAGAGCAGTAGCATGGTGGCAGCTATATCACAGCATGTGGGACCCAGATTCATGTTTGATAGAAGCTAATGTAAGGTTGGATATCCTGCTGAGCCACAAACTACGTCCACACTGAATACTTGGCTGTAAGTAGACACTACTTAATTACGTTATTAATTTGGTAATTATAAGAGTAATTCAAAGAGCGCCATGTTTGCTCTTGAGGATTTTAAATGGGCTCTTCTTCTTGCAGGAGGAATGAAATGGCATAAAAATAAAGGTACAGGGACGACTGGAAATACATTATGGTTTGCAAATTTATAGAAATTTCGATTTTTTATTTATTTCATCCATGTGGATATTTATGATGATTCTTGTCCATAGGGTGATACAAGTATATGGGGGGTTGTCGCGACGTCAGGATCAGGACATAAAACGTAAAGACGTCGAGAGACCGAAGATTCTTGTTTATCGAGGAAAACATTGCTGTCATTTACATAAACAAGCCTAGATTCTGTTACGATAAATCTAGGCCTCGGCACTGGCCGATAGAATGGAATATTAAATTCTGGCTAACACGCGTTACATATATGTATAAATACACACAGCTAGGATTCTCATTTCTTCATGCAATATATATATATATATATATATATATATATATATAGAGGCAGACCTGACCCATATACAATGTGTTTATGCGTCTTCTTCATATTTAAATAAAATAACGAACCTGCCCATACTTAAGAAATCGTTTAGAATTTTCTCATCCGCGACATAACAGAACCTTGGAAATTTTCACGTGGGCGTTACCAAGCCTGAATATTCAAAGTTTCTCTCTGGCACGGCCAGTCATTGTGGTAAATGAAATGAGAGGACTCGTAAAATCAAATTCTGGAACAGATAAACGAGACGGAAGTGACGCACAATTATTTCACAGTCCTATTTTATCAGGTTAATAGTACTTTGACTACGGACTTTACAGCGTCCAAACATTTACGGGACTACTGAAATGTATCTGCGGCTACTAAACGAAAAAAATAAATATTTAATAGCGTAGGTATACCCCTTTTATATAAAACCTCTTACATCTTCAGGAGTCTAATAGCCTGCTATTAATTAACATTCTGAAGGATTTCGTCAAGCCTTGTCGCCGCGGAGAGCGCGTGCTATTAATTATTTCATCGTTCTCCGTATTTCTGATATCTGAATAAAACCAAAAAAAGATTCTCAGCGACTAAACCCACGCGATAATAATAATAACGATGACTAGACATTCACCTTTTCCAAGATAATAAATGCGTTAAGACCATAGGCACTCTAAATTGCACAATGGACACAACCTGTAAGAATATATTTAAAAGTCCCGCCGAAACTTGTATCCAATTTATATTCCAGCTTCTGGTAACCATGGCAGCAGAATCGCAAACACCAGGCTGTATCATTCACCATGTGTAAAACTAGTATAAGGCGTGGTCGATTTCCTATAAAACGTGGGACTCTCTTACATTATCATTCCTTCACCCTCCGATAAGAGCACCAATTTATTCAATGATTTATCAGCAAGCCAACAGTGCTGACTGAATAATTCAAGTTGGAAATTTATGCACGGATGTCTGTTTAAGCTAATTTTTTCTTTTTTATTCACTATTGACTTTAATATTTACACGTATCGCTTGCCATGTCGAATCAGATTACGCTAATAAAATATTGTTGAATTACATGTAAATAAATATCTCAAAGGAGTCCAGGTCTTTATAACCTAAAAAAAATGTTGAACGACGATACCGAAATTGTCTTCAATCGTTAATCGAAAATGGTAAGAAACTTCTTAGCCAACTTGTTAGATTAACCAGTCGGAGACGAAACGTTCTCCATTTGATGTTCTACGTTCTGCGCCGAAGACTATAAGCTGTAACCCCATCGCCATAAATCGTATATGGCGGGTCGAGTCATCGCTCGACATACTGTCCTATAAAATTCCTTGTCCGATTCGCAGTGATGATGGTGAACGGAACAGATTTACGGACGACTGACTGACTGACTGACTGACTGACTGACTAGAAGCGGATGGATGTAGACAGACGAATGGAAGGTTACAGAGGATTATGGAAGTTTATGGAGAATCGTGAGAATATTTTTCTCGTGAAAACATCATTGACGTATCCCAAGGAGGAATTCAATCTGGCCTCGGTAACGAGTTTGAACTTGTGCGACTTTGTCCGACTTTGTGCAAGGTACAGCGAGCAAAAATCTTCGAATCCCTTTATTTCTCAACTCATTTATCTTTCACACCTTAAAACACTCTTTCACCCACAGATGGCACTGACGATTCATAAGCCAATTCAAACCGAATTCGACCGAAGTTTAAATTACGTCCAATCGAGAGGAGTAAACGGGAGCAAAAGCGTGGATCCCGGATTATCTGGCAGTATGCTTCTATTCTGAGCGAAGAAGAAGACATAAAGAAGAAAAAACTTGGATAACCAAAGAGAGAATATAAGAACGTAGCCAAGCTCGCTCGACCTTGTCGCAGTAATAGGCAGTAAATCCTGATCTTTATGTACAGCGATATACGTTTTCCCACTTTTCACAAATACGAAGTAATTCTCGTGCCTACGTACGATAATCGTCCCACAAGTATTCGAGTGGTATGAGAATAAGTATAGATATGGGATAAGACCAAGGAAAGAAAAGTGTAGGAGAAGCTTCTCATTCGTTTCTCGAGAAGCGTGCCGAGCGTGCTGCTCTCTCATATATATATATTTATTTATTTCTCTTTTATTTTTTATGCTGCCAAGTCCCTCTTGGTCTTTCTCTTCGTATCCTGCGACTCTCTCTCTCTCTCTCTCTCTCTCTCTCTCTCTCTCTCTCTCTCTTTGCCTCTCGCTGAATTTATTCGCGACTAAGGACACGAGGCCGTTACCGAACGCGACTCGTTATTTCCACTGAATGCGAAGAGAGCTCCTGAATCGACTTTATACGATCCTTTGTCCGCAGTTGCCCTACAAGGAAATCCAATTTGTTTTCTGCCTGCTTATCGCAAATCGGTGTTCTCGCTGGGCATAGCGCCAACCGCCACTATGCATTTCTCGTAATTAATCCTTTTCCAATTTTCGTACAACAAGGTAGAATCGGGCGCCACGACATCAGTTCCACTTTGAGGGGACTTATTTACGTTAGAGTTCGTAAGGAGATGGCCCCTCAAAATGAAACTGACGTGGTGATCCAACTAGAGCTATGAAGGTTGAAGGCTAGAGGTTGTAATTTGAAGTTTCCATTAAGGTCGGCTAACCTGAGATAAGGCGATGATAAATAAATTGTAAACTGACTGTGGAAAAAATGACGGCCGGGCGTGAATTCGATTTTTGAAAAACGAAGACGTCTTTATTGCTATATAGAAATTTGAATTTTTATCTACACAGGGAGCGAGGGGAGATTCGTTAATTAAACTATGCAAGATCATTAAACTTGATGCAGTGACTAAAGATACTTGCCGATTGATTGCCAGGGAATTTCCCAGCTCGTATCGTAAACAGTGCATACAAAGGCAAAGGAAGAAGGAATTAAAGAGAAAGAAAAGAACGATTCCTGGTGATGATGCCGAGGATAGCTCTCTTGGCTGAGAAATACGATCGTGACCGGTTAACGAGCGCCAATTTATAAGAGCGAGAGGGAGCATTATATGCATCGTACCAAGGGAGCAACAAGCCATACGGCTACTCAGTGGGCAGCAGTCTAATCGGCCGCCATTTTCAAAAAAAATTAAAAAATTTAGTCCAGGTATCTCTCGATTATACAAATTTCAAGTGGGAAGTCCCTGTATATTTTCAAATTGTTAGTAAATGTTCAATTTTCATTAAATCAGTAATTAATTTGATTAATTACCTTAATATCAAGATGAGCTATATTTCTCTCGTGCAGGTAGGCCAACCCTTCCACCAGTTGTCTGACAAAATGTACAACGTCTCCTTCGAGCGGCACCAAGTCCCCGTCAATTAGAGTCTGCAGATCACCTCCGGGTGCACTGAGGGGAAGAAGAAGGATAATTTTACGATCTTTTACGTGAAACTGGTTCTGGGTCAAAATGGTAACTTGTGCACCACTAGAGGTACGTACTATTCCATAACGAGTATAATTTCCTTTGGTGTCTCATAGACGTCGTGGAGCCTGACGACACGAGGACTCTGCGAGCACAGAGACAAAAGTGCAATTTCGTGACGCAGCTCGGCGCTGCAATCGGAATTGAATCGATTTCTCGATGAGTATTTAGCTGCATACAGAATCCCTGTGGATCTCGATCGACATCTGTACACCCTGGCCCACTGTCCGCTGTAACATTAAAAAGGAATACGTATGAATCATGAGAAAAGATACAGTCTACGGGATAAGATTGATGATCTTGCGGCTCCAGGATCTCTGCCATGGGAGGCTGTGGTGAGAATGGCTGCCAACTAAATTTACAGTCTTATCCTTGGTTGAGTCTTGCTAAAGCGAGAGGAACAGGAAGAGTGGCACGAGTGAGGTCGAGGAGGAAGGAAAAAGGAAGAAAAAGAAAGAAAAAGAAAGAAAAAGAAAGAGAACCTCGCGATGAAAATACACGATGGATAAAAGATGATAATAAAAGTGATCGAGACGGGCGAGTGGGGGAGCTGAGGGTACTTTAAGATGAACTTTTTTTAAATTATCAAAATCATTTATGATTTTCCTGTTCAACCAGAGGATTTTACGTTAATGATCGTAATGGAGGATTTCAGGAGTTTCTTGTTAAGGTCAGCGCCGTGGCGCCACACAAGGTCGCACATCTCGGTATCATTCTACGTTCCGTTGACTTCTCTTGGTTTCTTATCATTGACCGTCGCTTAAAAAATTCAATGACTGATTGTCATTTATCGGACACTAAGAAATAAATAGGAAAACGTTATGAGAGTCTCGAATGCTAAATATACGAGGATCTTAAAAAATCGAACTCAAGGCTCTTGGGAATATTTTTTTTTTTAATTTTTAAACGAGGATTCGTTCGGCCCAGTTTGGTTCGTTAACGAGCATCAGATAGTGGGCGCAATTAACTTTAATCGTTTCAATTTCAAACGCTGCTGTAACACGGAGTCTGTAAGATATTCCCGAAAAATCTTCACGAGATTTCAATGGGGATTATATATATATATATTTTTTATCAAATATTTCCCTAGTCTTCCAATTAACTTGGGTATAATCATTTGGTTATTGAATTTATTTTTTATTCTTTTTTATCACTCCTGCCTTTCCTTTCTAAATAATTATCAAGTAGATGCGAGCTGCTTCCCATATACATATAGGGAGACGAGAGGCAGCTATTAATCCGCCGCTCCCGATTATTAATGCACTCGTTATTGCGAACTGTATTGGCAAGAAGCACGACGGGACACGTCATAATCATAGGGAAATGAATTTTATCGATTGCCATCCAATTATCGATAATAGCATTAAGTTACGAGGTGTTGAAATTGTTGTTGCGCATGCGCGAACGCGCCTATAATATATCAAATTTTATAGCAACCATGGTGAAAAATCGTTAACCAACCTCATTAAAATCTATATAAGATCATATTCGAAATTGCCACCATGTAGAGAATTTGAAAAAAAAATGTTTTCATTAAACAATTTTATCACGAATTACGTGAAATGGATACGAGGAAAGTTATCCCTAAGATTTTCTTGTCTTTTGCAGCCAAGAATAATGAGATTTGTTTGACAACGCAGAATCGTTGAATGAATAGTACAGGGATCGGATTGGCTTCATTAGCGATGCAAAGTTGGCTCGTGTGGCAATTGCATTCGATATCAGCCGTAACAAGTTATCAATGCACGCGGATACTAGCCATTAAATAGGACATTAACATAGGCATGAATAATGAAACGTGCAAGCGGCCATATTGAAGTTCATAGGAAAGCTTTGAAATTTGTTATTTATCATTGACGTAACAATTGACCAGCATCCACCCTTGTATCTATGGTTATGAATGATTTTATTAATAAAAAAAACATATATTCCAAGATAAAATCATTTTGTCATGATCGACGTTGTATTGGTCTTTTTTTTTGACAGGACAAACTCGTGTATGTGTACTATGGACTTGTGCGAAGATTCAAGTGCGTCTCTGAGTCCTTGATGACTTTATTTTGCATAATGAGTCTAAACCGCCATGATTGACTGTAGAAAAATCTAAATATACGTGGAATATTAGCATGATGCACTTTGTCATGTGTGATTATTGAGGGGCAGCGTGAAAATGGCGAGAGAGTCACGTGACAGTTGACGAGGAATAAAAAACGAAGGTAAAAAAAGTGTATAGTTATATATGAGGGAACCTGCATTCTGTTGCATTTTGTTGCACTCTCTTGCACCTATCAATATATCCAACAGCGACTGAACGACGCTTGGAATTAACATATTATCAAGCCAGCCATTCTCTTCTAACCGTGTTCCATTTAAACTGGCGTCTCCGTGGCGAATTAAAGTTCGCGGTAACAAGTTCAAAGCTATTAGCAAGAAATGGCTGACAAGCTAAAGAAAGAAGGCTAAACATTCGATATTCGATATAGAATCGACTAAATGGATCGATAGTGGCAGGATATGAATGTCGGATAAGAAAAAAAATAATGTCTGTGTATTTGCAAACGTTTGCTGTGCGCCCACGGAATACTTGCCGAAATGGTGGTGCGTGTTCTCGCCCACAGTCATTCGATTTAGCTTTGACTAAAAGAATTCCCAGTGGGTCTTGGACTTTCTTTTTGCAATCAGGTACGAATTAGAAAATCCGGATCGTTCGTGCGAATGAACGTACAGCCCGCACCTGTCAAATTTATCACTACGGGGTAACCATTTTGTTTTTACATTTTTTCAGTCACATGTTTTGGCCACGCGAGGATGGGATTTATTTTGTAAATTTGCACTATTCGCTTTTCCTTTCGTTTGGCTTCTCGAGAATTTCGAAACACTCTGTACTGATTTGAGAGGTTAACGTTTTTTTAAAGAGTTGGCAACTATTACCGGGATCTAGTTTGTGCTAATTAATCGATGCAATAAATATGATTAATACCATGACCCGAGGTAACGCGTACCGCTACACGTGTTACTGTCCTGCCTACCATGACAAATTAATACTAAACGACGACTATTAATCAGTGCCAGGCTGCGTCTTGGACGTCGCGACGCGTCACGACGATACGGAGCGACGTTATTTAACGAGCGGAACGGATTGGCTGTGTACTAGACGAGCGGGATCTTTGAATAGGCCAGTACACAAAGCAAAGAATAAAAGAAAATTCCAAGTCAGATGAGTGAAGAAAAATAAAAATAAAATTTATCTTATTATTCCGTTTATTTACAAATATCAAATAAATGGCGGACGAATGTGCGGATCTGAATTTTAAAAAAATTCATACATATAAGCGTGGGCTCACTAAAGTGTTGAAAAGGACGTAAAGACGAAGGTGGGCGAGACAAAAGTTCAGTCTTCTGGACCGAAGCTGATCAATCGATCCATTCATCGTTCGATCCGGCTTTCATTGTAAATTAACGTTTATAATCGATCTAGCCAATCCTATACGCCGAGTCACGGTTGTCTCTTAATTCTGAATTAATTAATGATCATTCAGTTTAAGAATATTCAGTTTCTATGTTCATTGTGTACTTATACGTTTGGACGATTCCCCATTGTCTCTTAAATAACCTAATTCTTATACGAGATCTACTCTTCTGCCGTACACTCGGACTTACCTTGCAAAAGGTTTCTGATCGATTTCATAATATTCCGAAATTGGTCCAGTTTTCACGACTCTGGCCAATTGGGCCTCCTGTACAAGCACCAATCCCTCCTTTACGTGTTTTTCACTCCATTCGACTCTGCATCTTCCTCGGCACTTTTCGGCAGTCGTCGCCGTCCTGTCGGCGCCGCGCTTTCCCTTAGTGGGCATCGAGGAAGACGACTTCGAGGTTAGAGTACGGTGTTGTGGTCTTGGTGAGGTTTTTCGCGAAGAAGACATTGTCGGTGCTTGATGACTCGATTGATAAATCATTATTAAGTGTTACACCGGTACAGATATTATCTGTATTATCAGATCTTGCTTCCACGTCATTCACGCTGTCTTACACGGAGTGTCTCGAGAAGGTTAAGGGACGCCAAGAGTCACGAGGCCAGGAATTCTTTGACGGCTTTACGTATCCTTTCGCAATACTCTCTATTGTATGAATAAAATTAAGATCCAAGTGTCACGGTCCCAGCAATGGTGTCAATGCACACAGCTGATTCTCTCGTAAATCATCAACCAATCATCGATTCACATTGACGCAAGATTTCACGAGTCACCAGATTCGTATTCTGATACAACCAAAGGATTTAACCAACGTCGACCTTCCTTCTATAAATAATCATAAAGGGCTCTGTACTTCTGAAGGTAATACGATAAGCACGTATATTATTGTCATTACTGTTCGACATTTATCTTTAATTATTAATTTTTCATCAATCAATTATTCTCGCTACGAAATACATAAAATTCACTTTCTTTCTTCGCGCACTTATATCGTAACTTTTATTATGCACAGAAAAACTTCTCGCCAGTCAATCAGCCGTCTCCATGGCCAAACTGACATTTCGAGACTCTTCGGCACGTTGAAGATCACGATGCACGCCTTTTCAAGATAAAAATTCCTCGACCTCTGACCTCATCGAATTTCAAAAGAGATACGTCAATCGCAAATCTATTTAGAAAATGTCAAATCGTACTTCCTTCTGACATTGTGGGTAATAGCGCGGTTCGGGTCGATTCCGATCGAATCACGCTTCACGCGTCACGCTTCACGGTCCAGCGCGAGTCTGAAACTGCCTACTGGCTTCGGACTTACAGCCTACGAGAGCACCAGGCCACCAGGCTCTCCAGCAACTTCAGCTTCGACCGATCAAATGCTTCCTTCTTCTTTTTCTTGGTAATTCTCTCTCTCTCTCTCTCTCTCTCTTGCACTCACGCACTTTGTCCACACGCTCAGAGCAGCACATACCTACTGCAGACACCGCATGTCGCCTTCTTCTTACCCCACTACACACTGGGCTTCCCTTTTTCTCTTCCAGTCATTGCTTAACCAATGATTCTCTCTTTTTCTACTGCGTCGTGTCCCACCCCTTGCCTCTCTCACTCTTACTCTCATTCGTATACTATGTATTATATGTTAGCATACACCACCTCCTGGTGAATATGCTACCCAAGACAAGTCCTGAAGTAGTGGACACGGTGACGTAGGTGGAATCCAGTCGTGATACCTATACAGGGTTATTCAGAAATAACTCAGCAGCCTGAAGGAACTGTTAATT